AAAAAAAAATTGTTTACAAATTTACGACGTCTCTTTTTCTTCGCTTTTTCTCTGCTGATCATCCAGAATTAGCTTTAATATAAAAGCTTAAAGAGCGGTTAAGAAATCCAGCAACAGCAACAGCAGCAAATAGCAGTAGCAGTATCAGCTGCCATCAACTGCAGTATCAATAACGACAGCAGCAAACAACAAACAACAACAACAACGACAGCGAAGAATAAGCTTAAGCCTAATTTTATCAGTTACGCTAAATAAATCTTTTTAGAATGCTAAATTGGTAGAAGCAATAATTGGTGTGCGTGTAAGTGTACTTTTTTTGTGCCTTGCAAAAACAATTTGTTTTAGGGATTTGAGTTTCAAGATCTTTTTTCTTAGCATCTATTTGTATGGGGCAATTGTATAACAGCAATAACGGTAAGGGTAACAATAAAATAAGACAGTTTTTACAATCAGCTGGTTGATTTTAATATTTTTTCTGCAAGCAATATCAGCAGTAACGAACAATGGCAACAGCAGATTGCAAATACTCAAGACATCCAGCAATTCTTCGTTTTCCTTTTTCCTTTTTTCTTCTTTTGAGGTTTCAAAATTGGCTGCAGAAAAAAGAAGCAAAAAAAAAGAGGAAAAAAAATTGGAAGGAACAGTTGAAAAGCACAAAAATTTCTTCTGCCAAATTGTTTTTATTGTTGGTCTTCTTTTTTTTTCTTTTTTTGGTTGCTGTTTGGTTTGTGCATTTTTAAGAAGTTCTTTTCTTTTTTTTCTTTTTTTTTTTTTTTTGGTTGGGGTTGTATAATTAAAGCCCCAAAAGGAAACACTGTTGAATGACACAACTTTTCTGCGTACACAGGCACACAGATATATATTTTTATTTATTTATTTAGTTATGTATTTTAAAAAATTGACCAATATAGCTTATAGATTATACGGCTTCTCTAAGCTTGTCCTTCTTCACATAATTTTTTTGGATTTTTCAAGTTTTTTTCCATCTTGAAAGCTTCAACATACAACAGCTGAACAGACCAACAAGAACATGTACCCAACATTAACACCAACGCATAGTCTAAGCTATTTTTTCCAAATTCTTCTTTTGTTTTTCATTTATCATATTGGATGACAATTTTTTTTTGTTGTTGTTGTTACTGCATAACTTGTCTTAGGGATCAGTCGCTCTAAATTACTATCCAACATTTATTGTTGTCTATTTATACTGTCGTTGAATACAAAGTAAGTCTTCCAAGTTTCATTTTTGGTAGCCACCGATAAAAATGACCAACAATTCTTTCTCCATTCAATAGTTGTCGTCGTATACGTATAAAAGTAATTTATACGTTGATTAGTTTTTGCTTTTGATGGTCTTTTGTAACCGTTTTTAGAAGAGGAAAACAAGAAACTAAGTGAAATTTTTTGTTGTTATAAATGCAATTTTTACCAAACACATATTTCATCACTGTTAAAAACAATGAGAGTTCAAAGAAGCGCATTTTTTTTGGCTTTATTCATATTTCTGTGTATACTTTTCTTTCCCTCTTCTACTAAGCATTAACCTGATATAATAAATTCAAACATAGGAAACTTAGCAGAAGAAGTTTTTTATACTTTGAAATAAAAAAAAATAACAGAATTTGGTCGAAAAAGTTTCAACTAATCAGAACTGTATTTCCTTATTTTTTGCTTTTTTCTTCCACTTCACTGCATTTTTTGACCGTCCATCTTATGCCAGGCACTTCCTCTACTCCCGAAATCCAAATTTAGCCCAGAGTTTACTTGGGCAACAGTTCTTAACCAAATTGCTCAGTTTTGTTTCACTGTACAGGAATTCTGTGCTTTGCTAAAACACTGTTTATTTGTGTAAAAATAAGAGAAGGAAAAAAGGAAGAAACTAAGCAAAAAAAAAGGATTTTTTCTTTCAATTTTTTTCATTTATTCATCTGTGCTCATGTTCTATTTGATACGCCAACATGAACTATTTTGATCGTTTAAGATAAACGACAAAACGGAACGTATCCGTTCGTCCTGGTCGACATTCACTGATACGGTTTCCAAATTCTACTGCAACAGCAAACTGAAAATGCATATTGGTATGTTAATTTTTGTTATTTTTATTATTAATTAAATTTCTTCATTAAAGCACCTAATTTTGACAATTTTTTTTGCTTGTCGAATGACTATTGGATGTTTAATTTTTGATGTTCTAATATTTAAAGCTGGGAACTTCTATTTTGCTAATACTTAGTATCGCAATGTCTCAGTTACAGCATTGCTGTCTGGTGGTCAATTACACAAGATAATTTGCTCGTTAAAATAGTGACGGATTTTAGCTGCTCTATGATCAGTTTTTGGTCTGTGAATACTGTGCAATTTTTTGAAGCCAAATTCTATTTTTCCTCCCTACTTGAAAAGAAAAAGAGCAAAATACAATATAGTTATGAACGTCATGATATGAGTGGCTTAAAAATGACAGAAGAGCAAAAGTCTTTTCGAACTGTCACCTAACACCGGAAA